ATATATAAAGGAACAGCAGCGAATATGTTTGTTGTTTGCTTTTAATTACGCAATCGTTTTTATATTAATTTTCCCAAAGGTGTGGCAGCCAATTAAGCGTTTAATTAAAAAATATAGAAAACAGGCGCGTGCAGCCCAAAAGCGGATGAGATCAAGAAAAAAACATAAAAAATACTTGCATACTTGCAGGCGCCAACTCCGCAGAGCAAAAAGCTAAAAGAAATCTATGTGAAAATAATTGCAAAGAAAATCGTGAAAGTGCAGAAGAAAAGAAAATACAAAGAAAACTTAGATGGACGCGGCTGGAAAACTTTGCTGGCAAGGACGAGCGAAACTGCTGAGTAGCCAATGCTGATAACACTCTCCGACAAATTTCTACTTTGCGCTGATTAGATTTCTATATGTGTGCGTATAGAAATATAACTGGAAACTTTCCGTTTGACTAACTTGTTGGCCAGTGCAAATGGGCGAGTTTTTAATCGAAGGCTTATCGCAAAAGTCATCAGCGAGAGTCGTTCAGGGTCAGAGCGATTGTGGCGACGTGGCGCGCGTGACACGCGCGTGACACGGGCGTGACACGGGAGGCTGCTCGATTAATTTGCAATTGAAATTGACATTGGTATGCAGAGCAGCAGCAACAGCATTAACCAAGAGAGCGTGGGAGAGAGCGGGTGACAGAGAGAGAGAGGGGGATAGAGAGAGATTGCTATAAATTGCTTTGACCCGAGCTATAAAACTTTGACTCAGTTTGCTGCGACATAGTCAAAGCATTCAAAGTGTTCTTTGTATTAAATATTTAAGCATATATTTATAGAGGAGACAGAGAGAGAGAGAGAGAGAGAGAGAGAGAGAGAGAGAGAGAGCAAGAGCAGGGAGATAGAGCTAGAGTGAGTTACATATATTTCCTGCAATTATTATTAAATGAATTCTAGTTATTAATGAATTTCATTTTCGATTCAAATTGATTGAATTTGGCAAAACTCGACCAAAATATGTTTCAATTAACCAATTCGTTTGTGCCAAGCTTTTAGCTTTCAAATGCGGCCAAAAGGAAAAGCCAAATTCCAATTTAAGCATAAAATTTTTTTATGGTCGCCATAAAATGCCGTCAATCTACTTCGATTTGCACATTGTTGGCATTCTACTCTCAGTCATGAAATGGAAATGGAAATGGAAATGGGTATATTGGCTTAGTGTATTCCCTACTTTGCAGTCCCTCCGTCCGTCTGTCCGTAAACATTTCGTCACTAGAGACTTGCAATTTGAATTAAATATTCGTGGCTGTTGATATCATTACGATACGCCCATTAGGGGCGTGAATATTTGGATATAGTTATTATATTTTGAGCACTATTGGTGCTAGAAGTTTGAAATATAAATCAAATTTACATGATACGCCTCTACTGGGCACATGGGCGTGGCAGATAAAGAAAGAAAACGGGGATTGTTAGAGCTAGAAGTTAGAGATTTATGTAATTGGGAATAATTCAACTCAATTATATAATTTTCCAGCTTCTAGCTCTAATCTCCTGTATTCACAAGTCCAAAAGAATTTTGCGCTTCCATGAGGGCGTGGCATATCGAAAAATACCCTCCAATTTTCAGTTTTGGAAATGATAACACACAACAGTTACATTACATTATTCTAGAGCTCTTCTTAAAATTGACCAAATTACTGTGTCCGCGCTCATTGGAGGCGTGGCAAATCGAGTCTGACTTTTGTGTTCATATAGGTTTTGATGAATATTAGACTAGAGATTGGAAATGTACATATACTTAACACAAGATCAAAAAGGTGTGGTAGAGGCTGAGCCTACCGTAGACCTGGGGGCGTGGGGGCGTGGCACATTGAGATAAATTGTACCTTCTATGGTAAGAGACTAAACGCTTAGTGAATGCTAAGAGATCATTATTAATCTCATAATAAAGATCTACTAAAAACTGTATATATATTTATATATATATATCCATTTGGGTTGGGCATAGTAAACTAGAATAATCTATAATAATATAATGTGTTATACAAAGCTTATATATAAAACATTGTATGCCATAAGTAGGTCGGCTCCAAGACAAATATGAATAGGCATATACATATATATTTTAGATTTTGGTATATATTTAATATATGTATATTACAGATTTTAATAAAGATTTTATTCCAATTTCAAATCATAAATAAGTATATAAATTTCTATTAAATATCACATATTCATAAGGACTATTAAATATAGCTAAGTAATCAATATTTTCGAGCTGACAGCGTTTTGAACRTGAATGAGTATTCTGCAGTCGGGAGCACCCGACTAAAAATTGGTTTATTTTTTAACAATATAAAAGATATAGATAAATATTTATATGTATATACATGTGCTATATATATTTGTATATATGTATATATATTTGTCTATCTATGTCTGTCTCCTTGCTCCGCTCGTAAATGACAATTATTGGCCTTGGCTTGATGAGAGTTGCTGCTGCGTCGCTGCAGCGTGCAATTTGACAACTTTTGCCAACTGCTATCAGTGGACAGCGTGAGCGTGTGCGAAAGAGATGCCACTACATCTGTATATATGTGTGTGTGTGTGACGAAATTAGCTTTTATACGTTTTAGTTCTGCTTCTTGCTCTCATATA